AGTCCTTAGTAGCTACGTCATTCGACCAAGGGCACAGAGTGATGGCAGCATCTTCTCTTTCAATATAGAGCAGTACATCTGTGAATTCATGATACCATCAATGAAATTCAGCTCCCCGACACCCCCAGGGAACATACTCTCGGATATCCAGTGGGGTACAAATGCAAATGCATACAATGAACACATTTCTTACAGGCATATTAAATATATTGAAATTGGATAATATATATATATATATATATATATATATATATATATACAGTGCTCAGCATAATTGAGTACACCCCTTTTGAAAAGTAGGATTTTAATCAATATCTCAATAAACACAAGAAGAATTTCCAAAATTTTGACAAAACTGAGTTTTATAGAACATTTGTTTAGGTCATTACATGAAAGTAAGGTTAATAATATAACTTAGATTACAAAGTCTTCAGTTTACTCAAATTAGTTGATGCAAAAATGAATACACCCTACAACAAAAACTAATACATCTAGTATTTTGTATGACCTCCATGATTTGTAAGGACAACACCGAGTCTTCTAGGTATGGAATGAACAAGTTGGCGACATATTGCAGCATCTATCTTTTTCCATTCTTCAAGAACGACCTCTTTTAGAGCCTGGATGCTGGATGGAGAGTGATGCTCAATTTGTCTCTTCAGAATTCCCCATAGGTGTTCGACTAGGTTCAGATCAGGAAACATACTTGGCCACTGAATCACTTTCACCCTGTCCTTCTTCAGAAATGCAACAGTGGCTTTTGATGTGTGTTTTGGATCATTGTCATGTTGGAAAAGTGCACAACGACCAAGGGCACAAAGTGATGGTACCATGTTCTCTTTCAATATAGAGCAGTACATCTGTGAATTCATGATACCATCAATGAAATGCAGTTCCCCGACACCACCAGGGAACATACTCTCGTATATTCAGAACATACTCTCGGATATCCAGTGGGATTAAGGTGTATATGATCAAAGATAGAAGGAATAGATCATAGTACAATCCCATAAAATGTAGGTAATGAATCAAAAGCATATCATAGCCATCAATCAAAATGTTTCCTCACATCACTCTTGTCGGTTTGAGAATGACCGGAAGTGGCATCACTAGGCTCCGTCTGACGTGTTGCATCACAGGTTACGTGACTTCTTCAGGGTCCTTGAATAAAAGTGTTTACATTTTATGGGGTTGCACTATGATCTATTCCTTCTATCTTTGATCATATACACCTTAATCCCACTGGATATCCGAGAGTATGTTCTGAATATACGAGAGTATGTTCCCTGGTGGTGTCGGGGAACTGCATTTCATTGATGGTATCATGAATTCACAGATGTACTGCTCTATATTGAAAGAGAACATGGTACCATCACTCTGTGCCCTTGGTCGTTGTGCACTTTTCCAACATTTATATATGTGAAAGTGTTATAAGCAAAAATTAAACTTTAAATAAAAACTGTGAAGTCCATCAATCAGTCCATCAAACAGTTGTTAACCCTCACTGTCCTATAACATCATAGTTCAAAATGTTCAGAAATTCTTCTAACGATCTCCCATGTGCATGTACCTCAAAAAAAGGAAAATAACATATAGTGCATTATCCTTTATATAACATAAACTTAATTCATCTCACACAATCCAGTGACTAATAGTGAAAGTGGTGAAAAAACCGTGAAAAACGGTGAGATAATCAGTGAAAACACTGTGTATGTGAATCACCCTTCAATCCCACAAAAAAATTGCAAGCTGGTGTGCACTTCTATTTATAGTAAGGGTACCCTTACCAACACTCCAGAAAACACATGCTTCTATTAATCCAACAGCTTTCTCAGGATGAATGATCTCCACAATCCTCCCTGGATTCCTTAATCACACTGATCCCACTGTCTCCAGGCACTTTACTCCATCCAGGGACAAAACATGAGGAACACAATAGTGTAATACCGCCAATAATAAAATCAAATGACCTTTATTTGAACTGCTTACATCAAAACAAGCCTTTATGCACGTAATTAATCATAGTTTAAACCTCACAGCCTCACAGCCATCCAGGAAGAACGTCCAGGTGCTCCAGATCGTTCGTTTCCCTTTTCCAAAATGGCCGCCGGTCAACTTCCGGTTCCTGTGTGCGTCTTGACGTCACTTCCTTTGACGCGTTTCGTCATTGACTTAATCATAAGGTCAATCATAAGGTCACTGGATTGTGTGAGATGAATTAAGTTTATGTTATATAAAGGATAATGCACTATATGTTATTTTCCTTTTTTTGAGGTACATGCACATGGGAGATCGTTAGAAGAATTTCTGAACATTTTGAACTATGATGTTATAGGACAGTGAGGGTTAACAACTGTTTGATGGACTGATTGATGGACTTCACAGTTTTTATTTAAAGTTTAATTTTTGCTTATAACACTTTCACATATATAAATGTGTTACACCTTAAGGGGAAGGTGTTGTTTGTGTTGTGGGTTATTGTAAATCACATTTGTTTAGGAGGTGGTTTTTGATAAAATAAATCACTTTTCCAACATGACAATGATCAAAAACACACATCAAAAGCCACTGTTGCATTTCTGAAGAAGGACAGGGTGAAAGTGATTCAGTGGCCAAGTATGTTTCCTGATCTGAACCTAGTCGAACACCTATGGGGAATTCTGAAGAGACAAATTGAGCATCACTCTCCATCCAGCATCCAGGCTCTAAAAGAGGTCGTTCTTGAAGAATGGAAAAAGATAGATGCTGCAATATGTCGCCAACTTGTTCATTCCATACTTAGAAGACTCGGTGTTGTCCTTACAAATCATGGAGGTCATACAAAATACTAGATGTATTAGTTTTTTTTGTTGTAGGGTGTATTCATTTTTGCATCAACTAATTTGAGTAAACTGAAGACTTTGTAATCTAAGTTATATTATTAACCTTACTTTCATGTAATGACCTAAACAAATGTTCTATAAAACTCAGTTTTGTCAAAATTTTGGAAATTCTTCTTGTGTTTATTGAGATATTGATTAAAATCCTACTTTTCAAAAGGGGTGTACTCAATTATGCTGAGCACTGTATATATATGTATATATATATATATATATATATATATATATATCCAATTTCAATATATTTAATATGCCTGTAAGAAATGTGTTCATTGTATGCATTTGCATTTGTACCCCACTGGATATCTGAGAATATGTTCCCTTAAAGGGTCAGAAAGAATGAAGTAGCTACTAAGGACTGGTAGCGGATAAGCAGAATCTGGTATCATCCCTAAGCATGTATGACCTATCTGCTAGGTCAGGGAAGAAGGTGAGTGCATGATGCACCTACCCAGTGATGGGAAACACCACAATATAGTCAGCACGGTGGAGTAATACATATTATTGTTCACCTTAATTCAGAGTAACATATAATTTGTTTAATGTGAGTGGATATTGTAGCACGTTTAATTTTTGGCTATAAAAATCGGTGATGCACTTTAGTATGTTTTTGTTTTATTTTGCACTGATCTATAGTTTAAAGAGGCATAATACATGGAAGGAACAAGTCATGGATCAGAAATTTGGAGACACATTTTCCTTATAAAGCGTTTTTGGCCTATTATAACTTATAAACAACAAAAAAACAGCGCAAAATCCAAAAACAAAATTACATAAGTGAACAAAAACTAAATTAATAATAAGTGTCCATATAAAAATAAGTCCTTATTCCCATCAGAACCAGTAATAAATATTCAAAATGTGCTTCCACCTATCCACCACGTGAAAAATAATATTGACTGCACTCACCAGATGGAGGTGAGTAATGAGCCTTATAGAACATAAGGGATCCTATAACCCCTCCAAAAGAGATCAAATCTTCTTTTTCACCCTGCTTAGGTATATTAATCGCCTCCACTTTACATGGATTTATGGTGTATAGAGAAAGAAACTACATAGTGTAATACTGCCACTTCATATAGAATAGAAAGATAGAATAAGGCCACTCACATGTTTAAATATAATTAAAAGCCTTGTTTAATAGCCTAGATGGCTTCAAGATAACCAATTTCCACAATGCAAATATAGGGATCTCACGCTTCTGTAGTATCTGCAGAGGATGAACAGCCTTCAACCTCTAAGATGGCCGCTTGAACCGCATAACTCGGCGTGTGTTTCAAACACCGGAAGTGACGTGAGCCAGAATGACGGCGGACCGGAAGTGCGTCAACGCGTTTCGCCCTACCCACAGGGCATTCTCAAGACCTCACTTATTATTAATTTAGTTTTTGTTCACTTATGTAATTTTGTTTTTGGATTTTGCGCTGTTTTTTTTTTGTTTATTATTGGTGTTTTTCACTGTTGCACAGCTGCATAATCACTTAGTATTTTCTTTTTGGCGCAGGGATATATATTTTTGATATTATAACTTATAGGTCAATGGTCAAGGTGAGCAGGGAGTGGGACTACAATTCAAGCATGGTATTGATTATTGCTGGATTTTAACACAATATATACTGGATTGGACGTTCATTATCATAATTCTGTTACACATTTCTTTGGACTGTCACTTTATGTTCTCAAAATGTATGGTTTTATTTATGAGGAGATAGTGCACCACATTTGTTTCATTTATTTAATTTTGAGTGTGAGTACACCAGAGTAGTGAGTGCAGCAATCTTTTTCCCTGATATTATCACTTTAATTAGAACATAGCAGCGCATAACTCTTTACCATTTGCAAACTGTGTAACACCATCTGACGTCTATGCTGTCCTACTAACAGCCACCATCTATCTGACAGAAGCAGTGTTGTGTTTCATTCCAAAACTGAATTTACTTCTGTGAATAGTTCTGTAAATCTGCAATACAATCACATAAACTGAAGTTACAATATGCTTGTATGTATGTTTCTTACAGATGCATACAATGAACACATTTCTTACAAACACATTAAATATATTTAAATGCTATATATATATATATATACAGTGCTTATATATATATATATATATATATATATATATATATATATTGTGGGAACTCGCTTCAAATGGTAGAGCTCTTCTTGTTAATGCACACAGCAACTCGCTTCTTTAAGGGCTTTTTTGCCCACTTTTATTTAAAGAAAGTTCAATTAACACAAATTCTTCCCACGCAGGGGTATCCACCATCAAGAAATACCAACAAAGATTCAGCCTCCTGGCTTGTACACAGTTCACTGTCTGTCTCCTGCAGACTCTTCCCAAATTATGGCCACTAGCACACAGCTAGTCTGGCTTTCACCTGACTCCAAGGCAGAGACCTCCTGTCTGCCGGGGGGGTGGAGCCCTCCTGACTCCGTTTGCCAGGGTCGAGCCCAGAACTATGGTTAGGACTCTATAAAAATGCCTGCACACACCTGTGCAATCAGTGTGCTGGGGGTTCTCAAAACACGGACCCCGGATTGGAGATTTCATCCCTCCCAGATCTCTTTGAAATCTCCAGGCTCCAGATCCCAAAACAAACTTAATGAAAAAATGAGTAAACCGAAAAGTCAGTTTCCTCTGCAATACATTAACTCTCTAGAGCCCCTCAACCTGCCTGGTTGAGAATCCAGGGTTTTCAGCTTTATTTTGACCGTGGCAGGACACCGCACTGCCACATATCCCCCCCCTTTGTTTTGACCCCGTAGGGGACGGAACACACAAACCTAAAACCCTTGCTTTAGACCTTCTGTGCGGGCTATCACCTGTAGAGGTCCAATCCTGGCTGACTTTGTTTTCATCAAAGGGAGACACTACTCCCTGCCCCAAGAGGTGACTTCCCCTGTCTCCCCTTACTTGGGCTCTACGACATCCCCGTGCCTTTTTACGAGTGTGCTTCCAAAAGCGCGGTCTTTCTAATTTCCTTAAGACTATCCTAGTCCTTTTACGACTAGGGGGTTTACAAGTCTCAGTACCCTTTGTACCCTGGGGTTGATGCCTAAGCTTTAAGTGCCAGGTACCTGTAACGTTACAACGTGCTCCCTCAATTTCCATTAGACCAGCCCTTTTTGCTTTATTTAATTTTACAGGGGATATATTTTTAAACCCTTTAGTAACAGACATGGGCTCTTTTATTGTGGCATCAAACTCTATTAACATCCCCTTGTTAAGCTTTGGGCCAGTTCCCTTAGACCTTTCATTCTTACAACTTGGGCGTTTACTGGACCTTTGGAAAACTTTTCCAGAGTGACCTTCCTGAACCTGTAGGGGGCCTATTACTATACTCTTAACCTCTCTTGTGTCTGTTAAGCACTCATTACCTTTTTCAGGATGACAAGCTACCATGTCAACTTGACCACCAGGTCTACCATTCTTTTTGTTATCATACATAGTAATCAGACAATCCAAATTCATCAACACATTTCCCTTTTTATCATTAGCCAAAAGACTCTTGTCAGAACTCAGTTCACTAGTAGTTGGCAGGGCAGTTTCTGTAGAGGAATTACACACAGCGGAGTGGGTGTCTCCCATGGAAACGTCACTATCCACTGACTTCACTGTCACAAAAGACTCTGCCAGCAACTGTCCTGATGCCAAACCATCCTTACATAATGCTACATTAGGGTTCACTACCCCAAGCACATCACATATACATGTGTCTTCTGGCACTTCTGCCCAAACCTCTGTTCTGTCCAGCAGTACTCTGGTGTGCCTCTCATACAGATTACTGCTATGAAGCAACCCAGCCATGCACTGAAAGACAATTTTCACCATTACCAACAAGGATGGTATCACAGAATTCCTATATTGGCCATCTTTGTTTTGTATAGCCTGTAATACCAAGCTCCGATTAGCGGGACTCCACTGTACCAGCTCTCCCGAACATGGAAGAGACAGCAAGGTATACACCGGCTGTACACTCCAGAAGGCTAACATTTCCTTCAGCAGGTCTGTTATAAAAAGACAGCCTGATTCCACACATAAGACCTTCCTGGAGACATGGAGACACTCATTTACTGATGCCTCAGAGGTGGTGCTTCTTAAAGAGGCTTCCTCTCGGCTGGAGGTACCCAATATAATAACCTGGGGCTCTCCCAGAGCGTAACCAGGTGTGGGATTCACCCAAATACTCTGAGGCTCAGTGTCAATGAGCTCTTCCACGGCTTCTATATGGATATCAGTTTGGTACACCACACCATTAACTCCTTTATGGGCTGTGGGCAAAACTTCTGCTGAGCGTTTATCCTCAATGGTGCCTTTTACCAGCGGTGGGTTAATTTTGGCAGCGACAGGAGCGCCCTGGACTAATAGCTGCTCCACAGTCCCTCTATTCAGCACAGCAGAAACCATGTCCACCCCATTGTTACCCACAGAGGCATCTTTTATTAATGCCAACAAGCTTGTTGCCCATCTGTCCCAGTCCATCGTCCCTGTGATCACATCAGAGGTACTACGCAGTACCACTTCAACCGCTGAAGGAGACACAGAGGGACAGAGTGGCTCTGTATCAGACCCATTACCTATATCTTCATTATCCATATCACACTGGGAGACTCCTTTTCTAGGCACAGCAGGTTGCAATTTCCTACTCTCACCACTGTGACCTAGTGGCGTGTCATTCACTACAAAAACTTTTGCATTATTGGATTGCATTAACCCATCATCATTATGAATACGTTCATACCTTTTAGATTCACCATTGCCACACTGAAATAACAAATTTTCATCACTCAATTCAGATACACTCTGGTCCACCACAGCAACACCATAGTTATCCTGGGTTACCTTAACCACCGTTGCTAGGGGAGATAACACATTCTGCTTAGTGGTCACCCCTACTACATTTAATTCAGCATTCTCTTTAGATGACATTGGTGCAACCCCAATATCAGTACTCTTCGCATTGACATTTTTAACCGTTGCTCCCCACTAAAAGCATTATACAGAGGCAAGTCTTTCTCACAATCACCAGCAGTGGGTTTCCCAACCGGGAGTATCCCAAATTTATAGCAGAGAGTCTCAAAGTCAGTCTCAATCATTGCATTAGTATCTCTCACATTTTTCTCAAAAGTACCAGTCTTTTTTTTTTAATTTAAATATTTATTCATTTTTCAAGTAAAACAATACACATTTCCATAATGGAAAATAACATTACAAATTCTCATAAAACACTAATTTCGTATCATTTACATTTTCTCCCCGTACCTCCCTTTCTTTCAACCCTCCCACCTCCCACCCCACTACATTATACCCCTGACATCTGTCTGATCGACTTGTATCTCATATCCTCTGGTTACCGAGGTTTGAAAAAGGAAAAGAAAGAGAGAAAGGCTAATTATTATATTTTCTCCTTTTCCTTATCCTTTCCCCCTTTTTTTCCCCTGCTTTCTTCTTGTCCTCTCTTTCCCTTTTCTTTACGCTTACTTACTCAGTACCTTCCTTTACCTTTACTTTGAACTCCTCCCATTTCTCCCATTTCATATGATATGTCACCATCCTATCTTCCTGTATATAATAAAGTTTTTCCAATCTAGCAATCTGGTCCACTCTATTCATCCAATCCTCTTCCCTCGGTGCCTCAACTTTACGCCAAAACTTAGGAATCAGACTTTTTGCTGCATTTAGGTAACACAATATACCCAGTTCTTTATATTTATTTCCAGATAATATTGAATTATGGAAAAGACAGGTTTCAGGGTCCAATCCTATCTCCAATCCAGTGATAATCGTGATTTGATTTATAACTTTTTCCCAATATATTTGTATTTTTGGACATTCCCACCATATGTGATACATCGTGCCCAACCCTCCACATCCTCGCCAACACCAAGGTTGCTTCTCCTCCCTCATTTTGTGCTCTATCACCGGTGTAACATACCACCTTGTCAAACATTTAAAATTCATTTCCACCTCACGCATACTAATATTTTCGTGTACCATTCTATATATTTTCCTCAGTGTGTGCTCTTCCCACTCCACTCCTAAATCCTTTTCCCATTTTTTTCTATATACTTTAATTTAAACTTACTATCTAAATCCGTGAGAGCTTTATATGCTTTAGCAGTGCTGTGTTTCCCATCACCTCGGTCTTCTAAAAATTTCTCAAATTCATTCCACTCTTTCCTAGTTCTAAGGGGCTTCGTCAATTTCTCCACAAATTGTTTTAATTGATTATACCTCCATATATCTGTCCTAGTGAAAATCCTTCCCTCTTCCCTTTTCAAATCCTCCAGTGTTCTTAAGTCTACCCCCTCCATTACATCTCTCAGCTGAGCGTCTTCCTTCATTATCCATCTACCTGAAATTTCCTCTTTACCTGGGGGGAAAAAAATCTGAATTTCTTAGTGACATTAATAGTGAATTAAACTCCCATTTCCTCTGTTTGTGCATTTTATCCCACTCCCTTATTACAATCCTCGTGTATATACTCGTGCTCTCCTCTAATTCTCTGAATTGTGGTGGCTCCCATACACTCCTACCCAAATCCTTTCTACTAAGTGTATTTTCAATTGTGACCCAATGTTTACTTTTTGAGTTATGTGTCCAGTCAAAAATTCTTGCTAAGATAACTGCTCTATGGTATCTTTTAAAGTCCGGTACTCCCAACCCCCCTTTTTCTTTATTTCTACTTAGCACTTCATATGATATCCTAGGTTTTTTATTTTTCCATATATATTTAGTTACCATTCGCTTAATTGTCCTAAAATACACCTCTGGAAGATTAATGGGAATCATCTGGAATTTATACAGTATCTTAGGGAGAATTACCATTTTTATCAGGTTGATACGACCCAGCCAGGAAGGATTTCCTCCACCCATTTTCCTCAATTCCTCTCTGATTTCATTTAACATAGGGATATAATTAGCTTTATAAAGATTTTTCTGTGAGGGAGTAAGTTTTACTCCCAGGTACTTTATTTCTCTATCTTTCCATATAAAGGGAAACTCTCTCTGTATATTTTCTTTTTCACTCTTTGGAAGATTTATATTTAATATCTCTGTTTTGCTCGGGTTAATTTTTAGATTTGACATTTCCCCATATTCCTTCAGTGTTTTCATTAGGTTAGGAAGTGTTATCCTCGGGTTTCCAACATAGAATAATAAATCGTCCGCGAAAGCGGCTATCTTATGTTCTGTCTTTCCAACATTTATTCCCTTTATATTT